CAGCATGCCAACTCCTTAAAATATTAAAACTAGAACTACCACCCAATCCAGCAACCCCACTTCTGGGTATTTATCCAAAAGAACAGAAAGCAGTCTCAAAAAGATACCTGTATACCTATGTCCATAACAGCAGCATTTTCCACCATAGCCAAGAAGTGGAAGCAGCGCAGAAGTCCATCAGTGGATGAACGGGGTAAAGAAAATAGAGCAAAGGCACAAAAGGGAGCGTTATTCAGCCTGAAGCGAGAAGGGAAGTTGCCGCACGCTACAGCACACATAAACCTGCAAGGCACGACGCTGAGCAAACTAAGCCAGTGTGATTCCACTTCCATGAGGGATCCAAAGTAGCCAAATTCATTTCCCGGAGGCAGGGAAATGAGGAGTTCTTTAATGGAGATAGTTTCAGTTTTGCAAGATGATAAAGTTCTAGAGATCTGTTGAACAACGGTGTGAATCTACGAAACACTAACAGCCATAACTGTAAACAACCCAAACAACCAAACGATACTAACAGATAAAAAAATGTAGTCAGAATATCCACACATGCAGTATCAAGGTAAGTGATACCTGCCGAAGCATGGGAAACAGTACGCTCTGTGAAAAAGCCAGACATGAAAGAGCACATATTCAATGATTCCCATTATGTAAAATGCCCAGAACAGGCAAATCCAAAGTGACGGGAAACAGATGAGTAGTTAGTTGTGAGGGCTGGGAGAAGGTGAGCGTGGAGAGTGACTGTTAAAGGGCATGGGGTTCCTTTTGGAGATGATACAAATGTTCTGTAATTAAACAATGACGAGAACTCATTAGATCAATAGTTTCTGTTGTGTGGCGTGAACGATGCCATCTTGAAAAGCAAGCTGCTCTCAGTGACCGCCAGTTCACCCAGACAGGGGTGAGCCTCTGTCACCTGAAAGGAATGTCCTTACAAAGAAGGTCCATTAGCCAGTCATTACTGCCTTGGAATACGCAGCTCTTAACCACCTGGCCACAAGCCACCAGTGCTCCTGGAGGCTTGTGTACAGAGCTTCCAGGCCCCTTCCTGCAGCAAATGGAGATCCACCTTCTTGCTGGCGCCCCACGCCCTGCCGTGTCCTGCTTCCCTCACTTTCATTCCAGCTGTCGGCCTCTTCCTTTTGTCTCCAACACACCGCAGGGAATTTCCCCCACTCGGCTGTAAAATGCAGTGCAGGCATCGACAACCAGGGAATTATACAGCTTAAAATGGTGAACCTCATGGTTTGTAAATTATTTCAATTTAAAAAAATAAATGGGAGGAAAAAAGAAAGTCAGAGGAGAAGAGAGCAGAAAACAGAGGATCAAGGGGAGGAAAGAAAACGAGGAGGAGAAAAAGAAAAGGAACTTAGACCGACCTCTACTCAAGTCGTACTTCCACATTTAGGGGAAAGACAGAACTGGTAAATGGCAGAACACCTGGTCCAGACAAGACTCTCAATTTTAGCCTTTCCCATCAAGTTACACAGGGTCCTCGATTCCATTTACTTCTAGAACAAACAATTCCACAATGTGTAACAAGAGATGCAAATCAGAAAGAAAGAACAGAAATGACAGGTACACTGTCACGAAGAGATAGTAGGAAGAAATATGACTTTTTTTAAAGAAATATGATTTTTTAAATTTAAACAGGCAACAAAAAAAGAAAAAATACAGTAACAACAAAAACACATAAGAATAATTTTAAGGTAAATGTTGCAATCCAGTACAATGTATCAAAATAACTGTTTTAAAATAGCATCCTTTAATCCTCCAATTCCTCTGTAGGCATCTGACAAATGTGGAGAGATAGTCATTACCATTTCTTTATGGCAGAAAAAAAGAAACAACTTAAATATTCATTGGAGAAAGAAGTACATTTGGTACATGACGTGTATAAAATACTTTATAGCCACTCATCTTTTACTTGACAAAGGGATGGGCATCTACAATGTGTCGGAGACTCCAGTTACTGAACAGCATGTAAAATATTCTATTTACGTAAAATGTTACTCATCTATGGAAATTACGTATCTCTGGAAGGACATATTTCTCAATGACAGAATTTGAAGTCATTTCTGCTTTCTTTTTTTCTGTTTTGTAAATCGTGGATTAACTGAACACTTTACTGTATGTACATCATAGCACAATACAAGCTTTTTTTATTAGCCTACATTACTTTTAAAGTCAGGTAATAATGAGTTCCAATTTAGACAAAAAGTTATCTTTAGAACTGGTATTATTTCAAACAAATGCAACAAAATTTAAGAAAGCTAATTGATCATAATTTCACCTAATAGGCACTGGATAAGCTAAGCATACTTTTGTGAAAATGTGAACCACACACTGTAGTCACTATAATGGCCACTATTAATTCAATAACCCAAAGTTTGAGTAATCATACAATTTACCAAACAAACTGGGGCACTTCTGAAAAAGCAAGGAAACACTACAAAGAATTACTCTGGACATGGGTAAAAACTGCGACTAACCTAAACAAATTAGGACATATGGTCATTTTACCCATAAGTCACTAGAATTACAAACCACAGAGTAAGAATTCAAGAATTCTGTACACTGAGGTTAATGAGAAAGTCCTCGGGGTCATACCAAAGCAGTACATCACAAGGCAGTCCTAGTTGAGTCCGAGTCTTGACACCAGGGGTTCTCAACCAGCAATGCCTGCGGGCACGTCCAGCAGGCTTTTCCACCCTTATCGTTCCTGGACCCTCCCATGAGATTCTAATGTAGTAGATGTATAATGGGGTCCAGGAGCTGTTTTTGTTTGCTGGTTACTTTTCATTTTTGAGGTAATTCTCAGGCACACCCTCTGATGGTTAACTTTGAGTGTGACCTCCCTAAGGGAAGCCCCAGGTGGCCGGCTGGGTGTGTCTGAAAGGGGAGCTCAGAAGAGATAAGCAGTTGAATCAGCAGACTTAGGTGAAAAGCACCCTTTCCAAGGCCACAGGGCCTGAAGACAATGAAAGACAAAGGAAAATAGATTCTCTAGCTAGAACGGCCCTCGGGCAATGGCAGTTTCTTAGGCTTTGGGACTGAGACTTAGACCCTCAGCTCTGATTCTGGGGACTCCGGACACAGACGGCTAAGGTTAGGCTCCCCTGAGACTCCTGTTTGCAGAGCGACTATGGGACTTCCCAGCCCCCATCTGAGCCAATCCCTCATAATATGTCGTTCTCTGCATCTCCGTATGTCTTGCTGGTTCTATTTCTCTGAAAGACCCTGACGAATACAAACCCCAAATGAAAACTGCCACTGGGATGCGTGTCTCAAACTCTAACCTGCATATAAATCACCTGGAATGTTACTAAAATGAAATTTTAGTCAATACATGTGAGGTGAGACATTTCTGATAAGCTACTGGGTGGTGCAGATGTCCCCGGTCCTGGGTGGGAGGCCACACTAACTGACTCGGCTTGGTGACCTTTGAGCCCTTAAAACTAAGAGGCCACATTTCACTCATCTGCTAATTCCCCTAACTGAACAAATACCTAAGTAAGCAGAGAAACACATCCTATTTTCAGACCAGCATTATTTAACATTAAACTGAGGAGGAGGCCATACTTGATTTAAGCTAAAAATTAAATCTTTTAACATCTGCACTAAAATCTGGAACAATTAAAATTTAATGAACTAAAACAACAGAGTACTAAAAATACATAAATTACAGTAACTTAAACTTATTTTTTAAAACTGGGACACGAAGAGAAAATTGTATCTGGCAACAGAAAGTTTCAGTGAAAAGTAATTTTCCCATCTCTAAGACCAACAAAATGCATTATTACCACCCAGTCCCTCAATCATGAAAATTTTTCCATCCAGTGCTGGCTGCAAGTTCTCCAGTGCTGGCTGCAAGTTCACACTTCGTACCACACTAAAACTGGCCCACACGCAACACAAACATTTCATAAATTGCTAATTAAAAGTACTCAACAAACTTCATTATGCAAATTTAGGCAAAAACATTTCTTTTCTGGGGATCCAGCTGCTGATATTTATAATGAAATTTAAGTAGAAAAAGCAAAAGGTTGTTTTTTGAAGAAGTCCAGGATGTCAGACAACTTGTCTCAAACTTCCACACCCACTTGTTAACCAAACAAGCCTCAGGCTTTCAAATCCTTGTTGAAATGAAACCTTTACAAATGTCACTGCAAAAATAAATAGCCTGATGCAATAGATGGCACCGGTTGGAGCTGTGTTTCTAGGTCTATGAATCTTATGCACAAACCTTGACCTTCAGAACAAGCACTATGTCACACTCATTTTTGTATTCATGTGTTCGACAGACTTGGACATAAGAATAAAACTTCCGAATCTCTCTATCCTTCCCAAGATTTATAGCCTTGTACTGCGCTAGGCTGGTTATCCTGATTATTATTCTTGTTATGCTCATTACATCTATTAAAAGAGTAATTAGTAGCACTTATTCATAATAATCCAATTATGTTCATCACAGAGGGAGTGTTTCTTGTCCACTTAACTCAGAGCTCCCTGCGGACAAACACATTTGCACTGATCTTCGGTGTACGCCCCAGCACCTAGGGGGCACCAATAATGACTGGTAGTTTAGGTGGTTGAAGGAATGAACAAACGGATGAACTGTGTCCAAAACGCAGCAGATAATCCCAAATAAATTCACTGAATTTATTAGAAAGAAAGCTTATTTCCTAATTTGTTCACTGCACGAAATTCTATGTAATATAAATCCTACGTTAAAGTGTGCGTTGCAAACCCCACTTACATCCATAAAGCTCACCTCTGCGAGACGTGCTGAGTCACCAGTAGTATCTGAGGTGGCTGTGACTGATGATTCAATCAGCATTCCTTTATATTCTCTTTATCAGTATATTTTTCTCTTGTGCATCGTTAGAGCACCTGCCAGCGTATCCATGTAGGACAGAGCTACAGATGACAACCCCTGTTCTAGGACCGTGAATTTGTTCTGTTTCACTAATTCACCTCAACAAGATAAAAAATAAAAGCCTCACCATTTGTGGGTGTCTCTAGGGACTGCTGCGTAGGGTTTCCCTGGTCTTCCTTTTCTTCCGGATTTTCACTGGACTTTGACAGCCGTTTTCTTAGAGACATGTCTTCGCCCACCATTGTGCTATCTAGGAAAGAAGATGCGAAAAGGCTTGAACTGGGCATCTGGTTTGGGCAGACTACACGACTTCACCATATTAGAGGAGGTAAAAAATGATGGTACCTTCTCTTCCTTCTGTTTTACTCTGATCACGTTTAAGAATCTTCCAAGTACAAGATACTACAATGTGAAGAAATTAGTCCCCTTAAAGTAGCTGACTGGTTTCAAAGGCTCTTAGATAAACATAGGCTTCATTCTTAAAGAACAATTTAATTGAACCAACAAGGCATAATTACATGAAAAAGTAAGACTTCAATAACAAAAGGAGTACGAAGATGCCACAAGGTAGAATCCAATTAGTCAGGTTAATGGCCAAGACGATGTATCTGGACCCAGTCTTGAAGGATGAGAACAGGGCACCCATGAGTAAGAAGGGGTTAAAACGAGATCCTCAGAAGCCCTGTTCAAGGGACCACAGCGGATGGGGACTCCCTTTCCAGAGGGCAAGGAACGAGCTTTTGTTGAGGATCTGCTAAGTACTCTGCTGGGTGCTTTCTGCTTCCCCATCTAATCTTCATAGCAACTCTGCAAAAAAGATGTTACTACTCCCCGATCACAGGAGAAAAAACAAGGCTCAAAGCACTTACTATGGGTGCCCCCCACCCCCAGCCCAGGAGTGTGCAACCTGCAGTTGCACAAGCTGGGTTTGTCAGGAACACACAGCATGGGAAACTGCGGGGCGACTCAGTAAGAGAGCATTAGAAACGACTTAGCTAGGATCTGGGGCTTGGCTAGGTGATTTTGGGGGAGAGTCCAAAGAGGCAGAGGTTCACTGTGGTTTGGTGCTGTCAGAAAGCCAAGGCAAGTCCACGGCTGAGTTTCCCAACCAATCTCTACAGGAGAGCCCCCTAGAGGGAGGCCGCCACCCAACTGGCAAAGCAGAAACCATCGCTGACATAGTCTGGGGAGGAGGATGCTGGAAATCTTGTGACTTGGACAATGTTCAGGTTTTGTCTGAGTTCAGACGCAACGATAGCACGGACTTGTTTTTGTCTTGATCCACTGTGGTCACAGAATGGCCTTTTCTGATATGGTCAGTGAAATCGTTTGTGTTCAATAAAACACCAAGAATGAGCTTTAAGTGCCAGGCTGTCTGGCAGCAATGTCACGGCCTCCTGACGGCCCCGGTGCCGCTCCCGGGAGCCCAAGGCCACCTTCCCCCTACCACTGCAGTAACCGGCAGAGACCACGCCGCTAACAACATGGATGGGTTTGAGCCCGGGGCCCATCAGAACTACAAACACCATTACTTCCACTTTTTAAAAATTGGTAACACAGAAATATGATGGGGGGAAGACTAGAAAAGAGAGCTGGAATCAAACTGTAAAGACCTAAGAAATTAGGACTTTTCTCCAGTTAGGCGGTGGTGAGCCATTTTAAGCACCAAAAACTATGATTCAAGTCAAATTCTGGACAGTTCAATGTCAAGACAGAACAAGGCTGACTCCAAAGCCGTGTTTTACATTGTATGAAGTTTCCATTAGTGTGAAGCAAAAAGAAAAATAGTAAGATACTCACTGTGTTATGTCTGAAGCTACGTCTTTTTAAATTCTATTGTACTCTTTTTAAGCTTTTTGGTTAAAATGTCCTGTTCTGTATGAAGTGTAGTCCATGGTGAGTTTGAGTGTTTCCTTAAATATCAATGCTTGGCAACGTAAAAATCTAACACGGATCAGTCTCCTCCTAATGTTTTCTTCTGAAACTGAACACATGAAATCATTATGGAAGTGTGGGTGTGTATGTCCAGTAGAAATTGTAGGAAGCCAGTAAGATCCAATTAAGAGGAACCCAGGAAAGAGGTCAGGGCAACCAACAAATTTGTGAGCCATTTGTGTGACAGTGACAGAGGAAGCCAGAAGATCTAATTCTTCATCAGAAAAGATCAGAAAAAAGAGAACAGACAACTGACCTCTGAGGGGTGCCCTCAAAGTAAGACATCGAGAAGTAGAAATCAGGGAAGAAAATAATAGAGATAGAAAGGTGCAGAAAGAACCAAGATGTTTCAAAAAGGAAGAAATTATATAGGGGATAAAGTGGATTAAAAACAGAGACTCTACTTTTGGGTGCTCATGTGCTTTATACAGTATGATATAGGTTCATCTCAATACGATCTTTAAGGTAGGTCCTCTCATTTTATTCCTTCAATAATGTCTTTGGTCACCCTGTCTTCTATGACACTCTTTCCTGTCTCCAGAAAGCCCATTTTCTTCTGCCCGCTCTTTATCTGGCTGACCCACTCACCTTCCAAGCAGGAGCACAGCCACAGCCGCAGGATCCGCAGCAGTAGCAATGGCAGCTTTGACTGAGCGAGCATCTACTGTGTGCTGCTAAGTCCTCTACCTGTTGTTCTTAAACCTTTACAAACTTAGAATGGAGAGGTATGATCCTCATTTTACGGATGAGGAAAATACAGGTTGGAGAAGTGACTTCACTGGCCCCAAGTCATTCGGTTCTCCAACAGCAGAACTGGGACTCAAAACCAGAACTGTCGGATTCCACAGCCTCTCCTGTAACCATCTGAGTGCCGGACTCGCGTCCGCTGCTAAGGCTTCTTCGACCCACCACCTGTCGTCTCATGTTCCTCGCACTTCCCCTGACGCTGTGAATCCTATCACACTTACTCCCATACTCAGAGAGCCACACTGCTCCCTCTGCACTAGCACGAGCTTTTCAAAGACAAGGACTACATGGTGTCCACTCCTTGAATGAGTCTCAGGGGCAGGAAAGCCATGCATTAGTACAGAAAGTGGACGTATCAGTAGTACCACAATCAGTTATTCTAAGTAAAAGGATACAGAGCTCTAAACTTAGAGAATCAAGAGGAAACTCTATGTTGGGAGGCAACCAATGAGCATCATCTTTACTGTTAACAGCTTTGCATGTCCTACTCAGCAGTAAGATCTCCAACAACTGATCTTCACTGGGGGTGGATGGTCCCCAAGACTCCTAAAGGTTTGCAAAAACTACTCCAAATATTTCGGCAGCTGAAAGAAACAATTATACATGTATCACATAAAATGAATAACACAGGCAAATGAAAACAATCACTTTGTTTTTGGCTGAGACTATCAACTCAGCCAAATCAGCATGAGAAATCAGTAATCTCATGCTGATTAAAAGCACCAATTAAGAGGTGAAAAATACTTAATAAACGAAGTTTGATAAATGAATGATGTTTAGCAGGGAAAAAATTAAGCCTGGGTATTCTGTAGAAGAATTAAGCCCTTAGTCGTGAAACTAGGAAACATCAGCCTGATCGAGAGAATGAAGCCTATGTCAGAAGCTAAAACACAGGTACTGAGTTTGCAGTCACACTGCCATAATTTAATCTACTGGAGCGGGGAGCCAAAGAAGTAAACACTAACATAACGACTCCGTTTTATCACAGTCTAACTAATGTCGTTGACCTCAAACTCCTCTATTAGCAGCAACAAGTGAGAAATGGAACAGTGGAAAAGCACAGGCTTTGGTCTCAGAACACAGCAGTTTACAACTTTGCTCCGTCGTATCAGTAAACCCTCCAACCTTTCTGAATCTGTTCATCTAGAAAATGAAGATAGGTAGATACTACTGCAGTTTATCATCACAGAAAAGTAAGACAGTACACACTACAGTACCAACATTTTATTAACAACAAAGTGTAAAGAATAAAGTGATCTGCCCTGCCTGGTGTGGCTCAGAGGATCTGAGTGCTGGCCTGTGAACCAAAGGGTCACTGGTTTGATTCCCAGTCAGGGCACATGCCTGGGTTGCGGGCCAGGTTCCCCAGTGGGGGGCGCGCAACAGGCAACTACACATTGATGTTTCTCTCCTTCTTTTTCTCCCTCCCTTCCCCTCTGTCTAAAAATCAATAAATAAAATCTCTTTAGAAATGAAGATCACATGGAGGGTTAGCAACAGGGGAGTGGGCGAAGAAGAAGGGGGGAGAAGGTACAGAAAATAAGTAGCATAGACGGTAGGTAGAAAATAGATAGGAGGGAGGGCAAGAATAGTAGGGGAAATATAGAATCTAAAGAACTTGAGACACATTGTCATAAACTAAAGGGGGGAATGGTAGGGTTGGGGGTGTGCAGGGTGGAGGGGAATGAAGGGGGGAATAGAACAACTGTAATGGCATAATCAATAAAATATATTTTTAAAAATGTTAAAGAAAGAATCAAGTGATCTGGCACCTACACACGCGCTTCCTGTATGCTAAGTGACACAGCCAAACACCAAGCCGTGTCACCCACCCCTCAATGTTTCTCGTTTGCTCTATGATGTACTAGAGGAGGGTAAATGAAGTGCTGTAATTACACACTTCCTCCAGGGTGGCTCAAACACCACCTGGCTTCCAAGATAATATTAACATTTTATTATTGTCAGATGTTAGGAGGGACAACTATTACTTAAAGTGGCTCACCTCAATGCCGACCAGAGGCTCCAGCCATGTAGGTGGTAAAATCACGAGATGATTGCACTGAGCTCCTCCCGCCTGCACCTGAGCTAATGGTGTGGAGCTGTTATGCCAAATACGGAGGCAAATTAAAGCAATGCTCAGCTCGACTGTTCCCTCTCTAGACAGACGGACCATTCTGGCCTCTGTGTGGAGAGCAGACCATGAGGTCAAGAGCGCAAGCCAGACACCAGTGAGCAGACCACGGCACTCACTCAGGTGAGGGATCGAGGAGAGCTGACCCTTTTGATCACTCATCTAAAATAGGACTGAGTCCACCTGCTTAGCAGTCTAGACACTCGCTAGGCAAACTACCTGTGCTGTTGCTAAGTCAGAGATTCAAACTGTACTTAGTGCTCAACGGTGTCTCTGTGCTAACGTTGATCACTGCCCTTATGTGAGGTGTACCACAATTAACACAGGACCTGGGGGTGGGGTATCCTCCCTGTTTCCTATCACCTCCAGGTCCCGTTCCTCCTCCCGGCCAGATTATCACATCGCATACCCCTGGCAAGTATGTGCAGTCTTCCTGGTCAGTCCCCTCATTCACTGAGGGGGTGAATACCTCACTCACTCACTCTCGCCTCTCACTGATGCTTCCACACTTCTTTTACATCAGTCCGTGTACACACCCGTCCCACACCCTGGCCTCCAATCTCCTCGACCTCCTCCGGTTTCAAACAAGCTGTTCCTATGTCCCAGTCACGCCTTCCGCTAGGATGCACTGTACCAATAACTGTGCCATGCCCATAATTCCGACTTCCGGCACCGAATCCTCGGAACACCACCAGTTCACTCACTCTGGTACCTCCACGCCAATTCTTCACTACCCTTCTCCCCACACCAGCCCGCGCTTCCCTGTGCTCTAGGCTCATATCCACGTGTCTACTTAACGCCCTCGTGTAGATGTCTCACAAGCATCTCAAACTCAACATGACCAGAAGTGAACTACTGACGTCCCCTCCAATTCCATTCTTCCCAGTGCCTTCCCCACATCAGTTAATGGGACCAACAGTCAATCTGTGCAGATTTAAAAACAAAAGAACTTGGAAGCGACCCTTGGTTCTTTACTCTCCCTTATCCAATGCAACAGCAGGTTCATTAGACTCTGCTTTCAAAATACACACCCAATTCTAACCTTTTCTCAGCACATCCACCACCTTTGCCACAGTCTAAACCACCGTCACCTCACTACACTAGCCTCCGACCCACCTGGCTTCCTTCTCTCCTCTGCTCTGTCTTAACATGGCTCCCAGAGTAATCCTTTTGAAAGATAAGTCAGAATAAGTCACCTCCCTGCTCCAAGCCCTTCCTCACCACCATCTAGTAACTCCTCCGTGAACCCACACTCACCTCCCGGCCCCTCCCCCTGAACCCTCAACCTCCTGCTGCAACTCTCTCACTGGCTCTATGGTTACTCTGGCCTTTCGCTATTTCTCAAGCAGGCCAAGCTCCTTCCCGTGGACACCCTCAAAGCTTTCTCCTGCATTTCATTCACGTTCTCTGCTCAAATGCCCCCTCTTCAGGGACTCCCCCACCCCTCCTTACTAAGAATACTCTCGTACCCTGTCACCCTGCTTCATTGTCCTTACCCTGCTTCATTTTCTTTCAAAGCACATATTGCCCAGTACGTTACAGCACTTACCATCCATCTGCCCCACAAGACTGTAACTAGCCCCCAAGAAAAGTAGAATTTTGTCTAGTTCACCATTTTACCCAAGTATCCAGAACCATGCCTGGAATACAGTCTGCACTGAATATCCATTAGTTGAATGAATTAATAAACAGGTACCAAGTATTTTCACAGACATTACGGAAATAACGCAACTGCCCTTCACATGTCTGTGAATCCATCATTAATAGGCTATTGTAAGAGCTGGAACGGATGTCCACTTTTCCTTCTGACTTTACCCATTAACATTAAAAGATAAACTTAGAACAGTTAATGAAGACCTTTCCCTAGTTTGGGACTTCAGTTGTAGCTATACACGTGCAAATGATCTGCTCTAGAGCTTATGGCTTTCCATTGACAGCTGCCACTCCGGACCCAACTCCACCTGTAACTAGGAAACTCTGGAAAGCAATTTGCTGACTACGCCACGCCCTGGATCCATGGAAACCTTGCACACTGGACAGGCTGCCCTCCCGGAAACAGTTCAAGTGACCAGAATACATGTTATTAGAATGGTCAGTCCCCTTAGCGGGTGCCACTATTGGCTTCACTCTAGACCTCTGTGTACGCTGCTGCCTTTAAATGCTAACAATCACCTTAAACTGGGGTGATCTCGTCCCCGTTTTCGAACAGAAAAAAGTAGTGACTGCCAGAGGCATAATTATAAATGACAACAAAGAAAGAAAACTTAAAAAAAGTGGCAATCAACTTTAAAAAAAGAGAGAACACACATAGGGGTTTTGTTACTGTTGCTGTTGTTGGTTTTGTGTGGTCCTGGGAGCTGTGTTCCTTATGTGTCCCCCAACACATCACTGCATCAAAGCAGACCTTGGCTGAAGTTCATGCTCTGGTGACCTTGGCACATCTTGAAAAGGCTGTGGAAGTTTAAACATAAAAGGCAAAGCCCCGGCTGGGTGGTTCAAAATTGTCCCCCACACAAAAGGTTTGTGGGTTCGGCTCAGTGGGGGTGCATGAGGGA